CGAAAACAAGAACAAAAACGGATAACAAAAATGCGTTGAGGATTAATACGTTGTGGAGCGAGTAAGTGCAACTTCTTGACTAACTAATTTATTTTCTAACAACGGAAGAAGAAAGTCTTTGTAACTATGGAATCATTAACATTCCCATAGAAACGCTGTTAGCTGTGATAGAGTGCTAGCGCTCAAGTAGTTTGCCAAAGAACGAGCAGTGAGGATGGCGGCGCCAGTCGTTGCATAGGATAAAGTAGAAATCTGCTTATCGACAGCAGGTCGCTACAGTTTTTGTTTTCAGAACGCCATCTATCAACATCACTATCGATAAATAACTGTATCGATTATACGATCGATTATGGATTCACTTTCGATTTGATTTAAATGCGAACAAAGTAAAAGATCAAATCTTTTGTTTAACATGTGATAAACATTTTCTGTTTTAGATTTTCTTGTAAATTTTGAAAAATCTATTTTTTAAAGAAAACACATTATCTCATATATAGAAGCCATTTCGAACGAAACTTACATTATGACAATCAGTAAGTTCAAAAGTTGTAAAATAATTATAGTCACGTAAAAATAAATCGTATCTAATAAATTTAGCGGATTCTTTTATTAATTTAAAAGTCTTAATAAAATAATGTAAGAGTGGAAACAATAAATTTTTACCAATTTCGTCATTACATAAACAAAGTAAGTTATATTTACTTGGCACCTATAATTTTGAATCATAATGAAAGAATTAAAATTATATTCATATAACTATTTACACATACATAATACTAAAGATAAAAAGAGCTCAACTTGAACATATAGCAAATAGTAGTAGTATATCATTTTTCAATAAAACAATAGGAAATATTAAAAAAGCAAAGGATATCTAAAAAGAAAATTTATAAGTGGTTTAATATTAATTTAAAAGAAGATAATTGAATAAAGTATATTTCTAATTGTCAGGAAAAAATGTTTAAAATACTATGGAAATTTTACAAAATTCTGTAAAATTAGTATGCAACTTGTTTGAATTTGTATGCATAAGATATCAAGTATAGCAATAAGACACATATTACAATTTAATATTATTTATGCTTTAAGCATCACCTATACTTTTGGATCTTTTATTTTTCTTCTTCTTCTTTTTTACAGGTTCCACACTTTCTTCAACAAGTTCTTTTTTCTCTCCATTTTCATGAATACCATTAGTAGTAGCAGTATCACCATTTTCTAATTCTTCCACCTTCCTTTTTTGATTTTTTGTCTTCTTCTTAGATGATTTTATTTCTGTTTCAGTTTCTACATGTTGAACTTCTTCTAATGCCTCCTGCATCACGTCTATATTCTTTTTAGGTATTTCACCTGTTTCGTAAAATTTCAAGCGATCTTCTACTTGCTGCCGTAATTTTTCCCCAAAGATATTTGTTGGTGTTTCAGTGAAACAATCTATTCTTGATGCAATAGAGCATTTATTGGCCAGATATCTCGAAATCCTTCCCTTGTTTTTAGTACCAGCACGACCAATAAATGTAGAATGGAATAGTAAGCCATATTTAGGTGTATTTCCCTTTGTTTTTAATGCTCTAAATAATGCTTTTTCTGCACCTAATATCTGAACCGTAGATGCAGGATATTTTGCCAAATTAGTTAACGATCCAGCATGAGCTATTAATCTAGCTCCTACTTGATTCCCTATAAGGGTAGCCAGATTCGGTGCTATACCATTCATTTTGGATTTTAAATATTCAGACAATTCTTTTCTATAATCCGCCAATCCTATTACACGTTTAGCAAACAACTCAATATTAAGAAGGTCCACAGGATTGATATCCATACCCATACTAGACTTAGAGGCATCTATAATTGCTTGAGCCTTTGCACTATCCATAACAATTTGTTCCAACGCTTCTAATTTTTCTTCCGTTAATTCCTTTCTATTTTTAATTAGTTGTGTTACTTTAGCAAACATATAATTTTCAGGAACTATTTTTTCCAATTCTGGGAAATGGTAACTATACCATTCACTGAAACATAGTAAAAATATTTCTTGTAACAAAGATTTTTAAACAATATAATATATATTATCGATCCCAACTTATAAAGCATTCAATCTTACCGTATACGCATACTAAATGTATTAATGTCTTTGTCCAGTTGATCCATTAAAGCTATACTTTGTATGATCATATTATCTACACGATTGACATTAAACTTTACTTTCGCTCTTGAATAACTATGACCAAGTCCGAGTTGAGCTACTCCCGAGCTTTTGGAAGTAAAACCTTTAATTAGATTATGAAAATGGAAGCGGATTCCTCGAATGATTTCTGGTATTGCACCCGTGTGATCACATTTTAAGCCTAATGCTTCTGTTATACTGGCACCTAGTTTTGGATCCGATACACCAAGAATAATTTTGTTTTGCTTATCAGATTTGGGCAGAATAGAATCCAAAAACAATTGTAAGTCTTCAGGTACGATGCCTTCCGAAATACTATTTACATTCTCTAATGCTGCTACAGCAGTTTTAAATGGTGAAAATCCAGCAAGTTTTACGACAGATCTAAATCGTGATAAATCTGTTACTGATGCTTCAACTTGAGGTAATAACATTCCTACTTCTTCAAATTCATTAATGCTGAACACAGCATAACCTGCTGCGTGCTCGTATAAAACGTAAACTTGTGTCTGGAAAAATACACATTTTTTAGTTAAAAGAATTAAATTATAATATAGATTTTCTTTTTATTATTATTATTAGATTAGTAATGAGAGCAAAAGGAATGTTTATTTCCTTACAATTGATTAAAAAAATTACTTTTATTCCACATAACATAATATATTTTTATGTGTGTATTTACATTGTTATTAGTAAATAAAAACAATTTAACATGTATCTTACCATGTTTCAATACTTTGTATATTTGATTCACATTAGACAGAAATAAGTAATTTACGCCGAGCAATTAATGAATGCAATAAAGTTAAACACGTGCACACGCGGCACATGAACTAGTAAGGAAATGGTCAATACAAAACATCCTGTATTTCTAGTTACAATTTTAATTGCATTAGTCTCTAATAGGTGGGGGTTTTTGTTTTTAGAACGCCATCTATCGACATCACTATCGATAAATAATTGTATCGATTATACGATCGATTATGGATTCACTTTCGATTTGATTTAAATGCGAACAAAGTAAAAGATCAAATCTTTTGTTTAACGTTTGATAAACATTTTATTTTTTTGATTATTTTGTAAATTTCGAAAAATCTATTAATAATAGAAAACACGATCTCATATATGGGGACCCAGACGAACGAATCCTACATTATGACACGTAATAAATTTAAAAGTCGTAAGATGATTACTGTCACGGAAAAATTAATTAACGAATCAAAAATAAATCCTATCAAATCTGATTCGAAAGCATCGTTTAAAATAGGAAAAATTGAGGAATCAAATCTTGGGTAAATTCTGGTTTAATGTCAATTTCACAAAGAACATTATGTTGTTTCCTCAAAACTAATTTCACATTTATATTAAATGAATATTTTAAAAATATCTTTTATATTTTTATAGCGTAAGAAAATGTCATTCTACTGTGATTTCCCGGCGCAGGAAAGTAGGAAAAATCTCTGAATCAAATTTTGGGTAAATTTTTGGTTTAATGTTAACTTCACAAAGAACATTATGTTGTTTCCTCAAAACTAATTTCACATTTATATTAAATGAATATTTTAAAAATATCTTTTATATTTTTATAGCGTAAGAAAATGTCATTCTACTGTGATTTCCCGGCGCAGGAAAGTAGGAAAAATCTCTGAATCAAATTTTGGGTAAATTTTTGGTTTAATGTTAATTTTACAAATAACATTATGTTGTTTCCTCATAATTAATGTCACATATATATTTAAATGAATATTTTAAAAATATCTTTTATATTTTTATAGCGTAAGAAAATGTCATTCTACTGTGGTTCGTCGGCGTAGGAGAGTAAAAAATTTCAAGAAATCAAATCTCGGGTAAATTTTTGTTTTAATGTTAATTTTACAAATAACATTATGTTGTTTCCTCATAATTAATGTCACATATATATTTAAATGAATATTTTAAAAATATCTTTAATTTTCATAGTGTAAGAAAATGTAATTCTACTGTCGTTTCTCGGAGCAAAACCTTAAAAAATAGTAACAACAATGAGACATTAAAAATACCAAAAATACCACAAAAAATCCTTCGAATCATAAATATGTTACGACACGAAGAGTTTTTGGAAATGGTTTCGTTTTATTTCCAATCTTCGATTATAAAACAATTGGACAAAATGAAATATTCGAATATTATATCGCCATTAAATTCTACAATTTCTAAAGCGAATATGTAAGAAAGTCTTACGAGAAATAGATCAATATATATATATATATATATATATATATATTGCTTTATATATAACATTTTACATACATAAATACGTGTTAATTTATGCATTGTGTATTTTGAAAAATATAAATCCGTATGGCACGGAACGTGTTAAAAATATTTCACATATAAGCGTAGGTGTAATATATTTTTCAATATCAAATTGAAATTATATATATATATAAATAAGTTTTCGTATCACTCTTAAATGGTAATTTAAAGTTTACTTTCGTCATCGTAAATAACAGTTGGGTTTGTAGCCGCCCATTTTTCTTTGAACGGTAGCTCTTCTTTCTTTGGTCGATTTTTTAAACTTTGTACTCCAGCGTAATGTTCCTCGATTTCTCTTAACGTTCTACCTTCCGTTTCTGGTAGTATATAATAAAGTACAATTCCACCAACACAATTTATTAAAGCATAAAAAAGTAGCGTCCCCGATAGTGTTATACCGGTCTTCATATACAGAAAAGTCTTGTTTGCGATCGACATGAAAATGTATCCTATTGATCCAACTGTGCCAGTTGCGCCACTTCGTACCTACCAATTGATGTGAATTATAATGTTTTAGAAAAAGAAACACAAATATTGTTATATTTAATTATAAAAGTTATATTCCAGTAAATGTAAAGATGTTATTTTTATTTAAAAAATATATCCAAATTGTTCTAATGATAAATTTGTGATAATTCAGCAATATGATTCCGCTATTTCTATTTATATTTGTTAAAAACCAATTAATTGAAGTAGCGTAAAATATTCGATATCATAACATTTTTGTTTTTATAAATAATACTATAATGTTTTATCCTATAAAAAAAAAGAAACGGATTAAAATATTGAAAGATATCATAATAATATACCAACCGTAACAGGAAAAACTTCACCGGCTAGAATCCAAGGTAATAACCTGATACCAGTATGAGAAAGAAATGCTGCAGCAATCATCAAAGTCATTGGTATCCAGGAAGAATTTTCACCATAGATTATTAGATTATCGTTGAGGTATCCATAGATAGCCGCAAGAAGCAAACAAAATCCAATTCCGACTAATGAGAAGAATGTTAACATACGTTTGCCGGTAAAATGAATCGTCGATACACAGATCACAGTGCCGACTAATTCGGCGATCCCGAGAAATACAGCAGCCGTATATTTGTCGATGGGTGCACTCATTTCCTCGAAAATGACAACAGCAAAAGTCTGAAGAATCGAAGTACCGCCAAATGCAGCAATGAAGAAGGCTATTGTCACCAATATGAAAGGTGCGTAGCACGTTTTCTTTTTGTAAGATTTCCAAAATTCTCCTTTTTCTGACGTTGCATCCACCGGTTTCCTGATGATGTCGCAAAGCCCAATGAACTCTGTTTTTACGTGGATTGGATTGACCCACCCTCGGAGCCAGCACAAGGCACTTTCAGCTTCTTTCGCACGACCCTTTGCTAATGCATTCATTGGATTTACAAAATATAGAATTAATATTCATTGTAGATCGTATATAATCAAGGGTATTAATAGGCTACACACAATGTACATACATACATATAACGTACATACATAAAATGACGTTTATAATTATTATATATCATCTGATATTTTTAATATTTGAGTATATGAAGATTGAAGAAAAAGAGATTTGCTTCTTACCGGCTAACCAATGCGGACTTTCGGGAACGCACAAGAGAGCGATGAAACATATGATTGGATAAGCCAAGTTGACCATTGCCACTGTTCTCCAATTTGCTAAACTACCACCGAGCATTTGTGTGAAAACTCCTAAAATGACTGACATACTGGATGTAGCTGATAACATTCCTCGTAGACGAGGCTGAGTGACTTCAGCAACGTACGTCATTACTGGGGCTTCGATTAGTCCACCAGTGAGTCCTGTCAATGCTAAAGCTATGAAAAGCATTTTGGTATTGTAAGAATAATGAAAGATTAGCCAGGCCATTATGAACGGAATGTTTGCGAGCATCATCGTTCGTTTTCTACCAAAATATTGGGATATCGGACCGCTTACTAAACAGCCTAGTGGCACGAGAAATAAATTTAGACTACCTGTAATAAAATGGAAAAAAGAACATTACAAAAATGGACATAAATGGTGTATCAAAGTTTTGTCAAAACTTTCCATAAATCCAAGCTCTTACAATTGGATTTCATTTCAATTCATAACTCATTTATTTAATCTGTTGCATTCCTATATCTTTATCTCAATAGGTATCATACATTTAAAAATGACAAAATACAACAATAATGTATGCAATATTACTTACTGATCCACGTAATTTCTTCAATGGTTGCTCGAATTTCAGAATTCTTGCTTTGCAATTCTGGTATCAAAATCGTAGAAAAGCCTAATGTAGAACCGAACGTGATCAGAACCAAATTCTTTGCACCGACTGCACAGCATTGCGGTAGAGCCTCGCGATATTTTGAAATTGGTGCTACATTAGCGTCAGCATGGCTGTTCAATTCCATCGGCTTCATTTTTTCGCCATTGCTGTCAAATTTGTTCAAACGTATCACGTGAAATTTATTTCATTACCGTATGCTTCTTTTTTTATCGATTCAAAAAATCTAATTATTATCTTGATAGTTAAAAGAATAAACGAACAACTTACTTCTAGAACGAATTGTAAACGACACTTATAAGAAGAACAACTGGAAGAAATAAAAACGTTTCGGAATCTTATTTTAACGATCTCGGTATTACTTTTCAATGCTATTGTTTCGTCAAAAAAAAAAAAAAAGAAACAGGAAAAAAGTATCAAGGAAAAAAAAATACACCAATAACGTTAGCACGTTTCAAATGACGTTCTTGAAAATAAGAACATCATGACCGGCACCTGTTTGAGTTAGCTTTGCAAGGATTACACGCGCTGGATCGTGTAAAATGCTGAGAACGTATCTGTGTGCATTGGGATTATATAAACGTAATAGATGCACGTGTGGATACCCTTTCACGCTAAACTATGTCAATGACGAAATGAGACAAAACCGTATTTACTTGCGGTTAGAATCATGAAAGGAAAATAGAAACGAGACGAGACGAGAGAGAGAGAGAGAGAGAGATTAAAAATTGATCCTTTTCATTTTTCATGAAATAAATTGTCTCGTTGCATACAATTAGTTCAGGTCATTGACTTTTTTTCAATTGAATTCATTTTTATCGTGATCCACTCGAACATGGGCGAGTCATTTACGTAATATGTCGTTTCCGTTACAAATAAAAAAATGTTTCTCATAATTAATTAAATTAAAGTTAAGGAAATTAGAATAATGTTTCTCATTCCGCGCGCGCGCGCGCGTTTACTCATTTAATTCATATTATTTTCCATATCGGCATAATAGAAACATATTTTTTTAAAACGAGTCTTAACGGCATCCTATTTATAATCTACCGACACGATAGTAAACGGTAATAATTAAAATTTTAAACGATAAATTAGTAGCAACGTTTTTATTTGACTAATTTCCATTTTAATCGGTGATCGTAAAGTTTCGTAAGATTTTTCAAAGCTAAATAGATTCCTCTTTTAAATACAAAATTCATTTGATATTTTCGAAGCTTTACAGATTTCGGATAATCTCACAGTAGTCATTTTGTTTGTATATTTGTATTAGCTTTTGAATTCCGTCTGAGTTGTATTTAAATTGTGATAACGGTTATCATTTCAAATATCATATTAAACAAATATTTTAAATATTAAATAATCGATTTATTAAATGTCGATTTAAAAAATTGGAAGTTCCTCTTATAATTGCCAAATTATATTCATTATCGTTAATATAATAGTTCATGAATAGTCTAATGGCTTGTAACAAGATGATAATAAAAATATGTTAATCAATTAGAATGAACATCGATGTTCTTGAAATTTCGATAAATATAATCTTGAATGAAATTATTTGTGTTTATTAGAATATTGCTTCTTAGATATTGAATTATTTATTTGTTAAACATTTTTTGTGATATCGTAAAAAGTGACTAAAATATTTCAAATTTTTATAATTAAATGTATATAAGTATGTGCATACTTACGTACGTAATTTGATATATTATATACTATGTTATTTTGATGACAACTCACGAATACCGTACTTTTGTTATCATTGTCTTTGGTTAATGCAGAATTATAATAAATGCTTATTATTATATTTTAAATTGATTTTTGCCTTTTTCTTAAGAAAATTTTCAACAATTATATTCGAAAGGAGTAGTAACGTACGAGCATAACAAGTGTATACATTTAATCAAGTTAAATGAATCAAGCTATAATAACGTAATCATAAAATTGAATGTAAATTTAATGTTGTCTAGGCAACATTTAGGGAAAAAAATAAAGAATATTTTTGCGATACGTCAAGGTTTTTCTTACTGCATTGCTGCTGATCGTTATGGTCAGTAACCTGACCGTGAATAGGTTTTTAATTACACTTCCTCATTCATATTATGTGTTTAATTATAAATTTATTAATTTTTTTACATTTTGCGATACACTCTTTCAAAAAAAAAAAAAAAAAAAAGTTAGAACACATAAAAATCATAGGAATAGAGATTTCATTTTTATGCATTAATAAATATCTAATGTTTTTATGATTAATATATGTCTTCGTAGTATCTTCGTTCGTTTTTCTATATTTAGTTTCAATACGTATATATATATATATATATATATATAATATATATATAATCTTATTTCTTTATTTTTTGTTCATTTAATTTTCTATAACAATGAGTCCCTACTTATAAAAAGCTTAAACAGGATTAAAACAAATGATAAAGGAACAGTTGTTAATCATATTTGCGATTAATTGCCTTTCGATTGTTCCAATTGAAAAATTAAACGAACGTTAGACATTTATTACTAAATCTCATTTATTGTTGTTAAATAAACAGTTGCAGTACGTGTTGCGACACGGAAACGAAATATTTGTAAAGCAATAAAATATAGGACTTATGTCAATCAAAAAAAAAAAGAAAAGAAAAAAGTACAAATAAAATGAAAAGGATAATACGTAGAAAAGTGACGAATTGTCAGAACCTTGAATTCGATAGAAACGTGGATTGTTTAAATAAAATTTGATTTATACAGTTTTACACGTCACGTTAAGAAATGAATTTATAAGTTTGCAATTTAACTATGATACTATGTTATTATATTTAATTAACATTTTTTTTTGTTATCACGAAAGTAATTAATGGTACTGTGAAGTAATAAATTCGTAATCCAATTATAATTAAAAATGAAAAATTTTTTACGACTTAAGGTCTATTTAAAAACTTAAAGCAGATTAACGAATTATTAGAAAAATTATCTTAAGAAAATGTAACATTTGCCATCTGTCTGTTAATCGCATATTAAACAATAAAACAGTTCAGCTGATTAACTTAATTCAGAATGGAGAAAACAGAATTAAAAAATAATAGAGTAACAGTTCCTCAAAAAAAAAAAAAAATGATTTTTTTTGTGTTTCTTTTATTCGTGAACATTTTCTTTTATTTTCAGTGTACTAATAAATAGACTTTTTATTGCCGTTTTTCGTTATCCTCGAATATTAAGGTCAAAAATGTAATAATATTGACCTAAAACATTATCTATAGATATAGTTATCTAATAATATATATCGCTATATTATAATAAACAATTAAAATACTTTTGTATATATGTGATTGTTACAATATATGTAGAAAATAAAATACATGTAACAATTATTGCTAATATACGTACACGACTTTATCAAAAAATGTTCCTATTTAAGTAAATTATCTTTTCTTTTCTTTTCTTTTTTCTTTTTTTTTTACCAGAAACTAGAACGTGCGTGCTACTTTTCTGGAATCCTATTTAATATTATATTCGATTTTTCGATGAGAGAATGCTTAGATGCTATCGAAAATCTTGATATATGTGTTTTTTTTAATGTTATCCGTTTTTAAATTTGATACTGGAGATCCAAAAATAAAAAGTCTTTTTTAAAAAAGAAATTTACAAAAAAAAAGATTCTTTTGTTTGATACAATCTATCGATTAATTGTAATGATTGGTTGTGAGATTAATTTCTTGATATATTGGCACATTGTATTTTTTGTCAATCTCTACATATAAGAGAGATAAGATGATCGAATAAATTACATTTATTATTGCTGCTTGATTAATTATTACACATAAAATTCGAATGATAATTACCTATGGAATATTATCATATCGATACCAAGACAAATATTTTACATCGAATCGATTAATTCGATCGACAAATTAAAAGAAAATTGCAAATCATTTAATCGAGAATTATAGATAATATTATAATTAAACGAACCTGACTGCATTTTCCGCGATGTTCTCCATTTTCTCCGTTAATGTCATATTCTTGAAAGGTGTCAACACAATCGCGTTTTCGTATTATTTTTTATCGGAAAACAAGTTAATTTGAAATCTTATTGAAATTTTATCTCGATAAACAAAGATTTTTCAATCGATACCAAATGGATCATATCGAAAATATCAAATTGTTTATACGATTACTTTCTTTACTTATACATACATTTCATTTCCACTACATCTTTATTCTCATTTAATACTATTTATTCGATAAAATATCAAAGATCCGAACAAATCCATCAATGTTTCTTTTTATTCTAGAATAAAGTTTTTCATTGAAAAAATTCGTTTATTCCTCGAACACGTACGTATACGATTTGGCCTTCGTATAATTTTATACGTTTTTTACTGTACAATTTTTCAAACACGAGCTATCCTTTCTCTTTTCTTCTTCCTTTTGCTTCTTCAATATAGAATCGTTTTTAAATTTTGATTAATTTCTTTCCTCGAACTATTTGACAATATAAAGAATGACAGGTGACAAGAAATGGAAAATAAAAAATAAAGGAAGAGAGAAAGAGAAAGTGGAAAAAGAAAGGAAGAAAACAAGAGGATGAAAGAAAAAAAAAGAAACAGCTAACTCATTTACCGAACTCGCCTTAGAGACGACTGAATTCTATCTGATTGCTACTACCAACCCAAGACGTAAGTTACTTTCGGTTTAACCCCCTCTTTCTCTTCATTAACAGGAATTTGTTCTTTGTGTGCTATCCTTTTACCCCTTCCACTCATGATAAATAGTATACATTAATTTTCATTTTTATCAATCTGAAAACTAATTTTTTATTACAGATAAATACAATCAAAAACAATGAAATGCAAAAATATAATTTCATTTGATCAAATTTATTTTTTATATATGATAATTTACAGAACTCATGATAATGAAAATGATAATTATGATTCGTGTTCAAATAACAAAAAAAAAAATTATATAATTTAATAATCATACAGTTGTATAATTAATTATCCTTTTTGTAAAAGAGAAAGGGATTCACATGTATGAAATATTCGTAAATGGAATTTTTAACGAAGGCGAAATATATATTAGCGCATGACGTAAGAAATTTCTTTTAAAACAAACACTTTAAATATAATCTTTTTGATTTATTCATTGAAATTCATATTTTATTATGTCAATATAAAATATGACGTAGAAAACAAAATAATTATTTTTAATTATTACTATTCTTTTTTCATTTATATAGTTTATTTCATCTGACAATGATTTTCCATGTAGTACTACATTCATGTATTGCTTTCATCTTTATCTTCGAATTTATTTTCACTTTCTTTTTTCTTTTTTTTTTATCACTGTCTTCGTGCAGTTAAGTTAAAAAAAACTCACCGTTAAGAAAGATATACCTGAATTGTCTATTTATTTTTACGTGACTGTTGTGATAACATTTTTCAAACTACAACAATAATTTTATCTGAACTGAACAAACAATTTTATTAATCATAAAAATTGTATTTGCAAAAATTTCTTCGATTCTTATACATGTAGAAGATATTATCTCAAGATACTAATAAGCACGAATTCAAATTGTACAATGAACGTCATTCCTTTTTTAATAGAGTATCAAAGGATTAACTGGAAAGACAGACAACGTCTGAGTACAGGCTTATAACACGTGCATATGTTCTTGGTCGATTATTTTTCTCTTTCCAATTTATTCATTTTTAACTATGAAAAATCATGAAAACAGAACAAAAATAAATAAATAATTAAACAGAATCGATAAAAAAAAAAAAAGAAAAGAAAAGAACGTAAAAAAATCACGCAAAAGGAAATCATTAATTATTCGTGTTTAATCGTCAATGAATAAAATTATCTACATCGAATTTGATCAACCATATCGGCTAATTGTGCTACGTTTCCTTCATCATTTTTATTTACCGTCTAAGATAATATATAACTAATGTAAATTTAAACGAGATAATTTAACGATGAAATAAATTTTGCTTGCATACAGATTTCCAAATTAGAAAAGTTAAACACAAGAAAAAACTGTGAACCTGTCGCTTAATCTAAAAAGCCGCTTATGATATTAAATTAATATTATCGCATATTCTCGTATAATTCAGCACGTGTGGCTAATAATCGCCAAACAGCTTTTTCATTTTCACTCATCCCCCCCGACGGAAAGGGTAAGAAGAGCAAGAAGCTCGTTTATTGCGCGTTCATTACAAAATTAAAATTCTTCTTTTCTTTTTATGTTCGTTTGTTTAATTGGTTTTTATTAAGAACGGTAGTTAATTATGCGTTAGATTATGCGTTTAATTAATTTAATAATAAATACAAAAAAATCACGCGTGATCGTTAGCCAGCCAACGGTATAATCGTTATTCTATTATTTTTTGTTTCTTTTTTTTTTTTTTTTTTTTTTTTTTTTTTTTTTTCTTTTCTTCTTTTTCTATTTGCTTTTCGTTTCTCCTTTAGTTTGTCATTTTCTATCACATGTCGTGCAACATTGCTTATTTTAAACGACGTACTTACAACTTTGGTTAAGAAAAATATATAACTCTAACTATAAGCGAACGATGATCTTCTTCGCTTCGTGAGATGCGTTATTCGCTTCTCCTCAAATAGGATATCAGAAAATAAAAGATTTGTCTTAAGCATATATATATATAAACTGCCACAATATATAGTACATACATTCAGTCTAAAGGCAATTATCATTGTTTCATGGTTGATTTAATGCTTCCTCTTTTTTTTTTTTTAAACATTCGCAGAAATGCATGTATATAATTTGTCTCTAAACGTAACGTATCGTTCCACTTGTTTCTTTCCTCTTACATTCTCGACATTTTAGCAACATTCGTTAAGAAGGTATACGTAAAATATAAAATCCAAGTGATGAAACTCAATGCGATGTATCTTTTCGAACAATCAATTTTTCTTTTTTTCTTTTGTTTCCTTTCTTTTCTTTGTTCCGTTAATTGAAGTATTAATCTCTTCAGTACTATCGTTAATTTCAGTCAACAGCAACCGAATAAATTAATACAGCCGATCGTTGACTTTATTATTCGGCAGCATAAATATAAAATTACAAAAAAACCGAGTTGTTATATACTTTTATTCAATATAAAATGCATATTGCTATATAAATTTTAATACAAAGCAAACTTTTGCCTTCCGTTTAAATTTCATTGCAATCAAATATTATTATTTTGTTAAAAAAACAAAAGATGGATGAAAGCATACCGCGCCATATTTGCTTTAAGTCGTTAATAATACAGCCGAACAAGCAGACGTACCAAAGAGATTAATTGACGCAGAAATTTTTTTCTTTTGAAAATTTGAATAATAGCATAAAATTCGAAATCCATACTTTACGAGTTTCCTTATAAAATATGATTTTCGTATAATCTAGTTTGGCAATTAGAAAAATATAGGTCCTTAAAGTTTCCTGTTAATACGATCTAAATCATTTTGGTTGTTACAACAAAGATGATTCTAGCAATTAGTTCGTTTTTTTAAATAGAGTGCGCTATAGCGTTCTTGATCGGTTCATAGCCCATTTCGAAAAATCTTTCCTCAATTAGACCTTCTTTTGCCTACGTAGTACGTATTGCAACTGTGTGTATGTATTAATATATTATAATGTATTCTACATTATACAAGTAATAATTAAAACATAATAATGAAAATTTTCTTTCTTTTTTCTTCTCTTTTTTTGGATATAACAACACCTACGTACTGCGTAACAAAAGATTGAGATCAACTCTTTTTCTTCGCATTCTTTTTCTTTCTTTCTTTCTTTCTTTATATATATGTATATATATCAAGTGGTCCAATAACTATAAAACAAAAAATAATATAAATATATGAGGTGATAAATTACCACTGGTAATACTTATTGGATCAATCGATATATATAAATATATATAAATATATGATATACATCTCTTATTCTATTGTAGCGAATATATACGAATGAATATTACAATGACGGATGCGAAGGCACTTGTATTAGTAAAAATGAAACATCGTGTATACAGAAATTTGATTGCATTTATGAAAATGAGATGATAAATTGCATTGTAAAAAATTTAATGCATAGATAGTCCTCGAGCTAATGCATGAATGAAAGTGAACGGATTTTTGAAATCGGATATTTATGAAATTATATTTGGAATAAAAAGTAAAAATATTGTATGTATTATGGAATATTATTAAATATGTATCCATAAGAGAAGATTGTGCAATGAAAGTTCCAAATCATTGCTGAAGGACTGTCTATACATTTATCTAATTTTTTATCTTATATTTATCTCCATGATAATTTAAATTGTAGGTATATATATGCATATATTGTTATCGATCTTCAACAATTAATATAAAATTTCTCAATTTCTCAATTGTTTTTGTAAACTTTTTGCAAATTTATGGAAGCTTAACAAGAAACGATAATATTAGTTTACTTCCATATTCTTCCATAATATTTTATCAACATATTCAATGCAGAAACTCTAAATTTTTGTTTCGAACTTAAAATGGACTCAGAGAGCCAATAATTTTCGGTAGATACAATATTTTATATCACAAGTATTAATAATAACGATAGCTTAAAAATGTTATATCTTAATAAAAATAATTACATATATAGTATGTTAATACAAATAGTACCTATAGTTAGACTCATAGTACTTTATTCAAAAAGAAACTAGTATATTACTCAATGAGATAAAATATTTCCCTAAACACTTTTCTAAAAATAAATAAATGGAAGAATATCAGAAGCAGCTTATTATCCGAAGAATTCGTGACATTTCAAAAATTTTTAACGTTAATCTTCTAATAAGCAGCCTTCTTATACAAATTAATAATAAATTTTACTATTTCCATACTTGTGTAATAGTTACGATAATTTAAAAAATAATAAATTACTGTTATATCGTAAAATATCTCAAACAAAATATCCTACTCAAGGACAATGTGATATTATCGAAAGATGTAAGATTTTAAAAAATAATAGATGAACCCTTAACTTAATCGAAGGTTTACAACACGTCGAATATAAAAATCATTATCCCTGTAGAATTATTGTAAGCTTACACGGAACTTTATACTCGAGTATCTTATAATATTTATAATCGAAGGTAAACGTAAAATAAAGCTATTTACATGTGCATACATAAGATTTAATCTAATTTATCAGAGACCAACGGAAATCTGACGATTCTTAACTGTCGACCAAAATCACAAACGACACTATCCTTTAAAGTTATCATTTGCTTTACAAACATACAACTTTCCTTATGACCCAATCTTACTTCGCGAATTGGTTCGCCAGTTCTCACATCCCATACTACTAATGATCCCTGAAATATTTATTATCAAATCTTGTACTATTATATGTAGATGTTATTATAATAAAATTCGTTTGTTACATACCTGGCTACTGGCGATGAGCAAATGATGCGTTAACATAACTATTTGTAAGCTATAAGCTGCTTTATGTGCAGGAAGAGTATGTAATAAATGGCCTTGAAACCGTTCCCAAACGCACAACTTTTCATCGGCTCCAATACTTATTACATACGATACTGAACAAGTAATAGCTGCCACAGCACCATCATGTGCTTGTATACTATACATACAAGTTCCTGAAAAACAATATTTTATTGATAGTTTCTTACTACTTATACTATTTTATGATATTAGTTTACCAGTTAGAAGATCCCAGACACATAGTAAACCATCTTGAGATCCACTAGCGCATGTCATAGGACTAATTCTGTCCACAAATAGGCAAGATATTGGACCACAATGCCCATGAAGAGTATACAATGCTAACTGGTCTTCTAACCTGAAGATATAATATAAAAATATTAAAAACACATACACACACACTCATAAATATTTGATATTCTGTATTAAACATACCTGTACACTTTCAAGGTGTGATCTTGGCTGCCTGTTAAGACACGGCCTCCTTCACAATCTAAAACTGTTATAGCCTGTTGGTGTGCTCTATGCGAGCATATTTTAACACAACGAATGATGTTATTGATATCCATAGGTGATCCAGCACTGCCGGTACGAACATGTGCTGTAACATATCATGAGTAATATAAGAAGAAAAATAAATTACAATAATAAATAATTACTTCTTCTATACATACTTCTTCTGTAAGATGTAAATCCCCAGTCAATTTGTTGTCCTTCGCTATAACTTTCAAGATGTAAGAAATCTATGGAACCATTTAACTTAGCAGCCACTACTCTGCTACCTATAAGTTTAATCGCAGAAATCCCAAAGCCAGTATCATCATTAAACAAACACTACAATAGTATTAAAAATGTCGGTAATTATATGTATAGTATGTATACAAAAATGTATAATTTTTAAAACTTACTTTAAATCTTCCAGTTGTACCTTCCCAAAATTCTAAACTACCATTAGAGCATCCTACGACAATTAAATTTTCTTGATAGTCCATGCACCAAATTGGTGAAATGCCTTGAGACATTTGCAATGGTTTTTCTGTGTTTAACAGAATTGCACCATTTACTGAAGTATTTGATTTTCTACATGCATTTAACTCATCCTGATTTTCAGATTTTTGCATTTCATCTATGGTCCTATTATGTTCAACTAAGAGATTCTTATATTTATCACCAAAATCATAGCCTCGTTCATAATTCGTTTGCACCAACGAATGATTCATAGAAACAAAGTTAATATTAATTGTATGTTTTAGATCAGGTAAATTATAAGCATTGTCCAAATTTCTACGCAAACATTTATGTTTTTCAGTACTTAATTCATTTATTTGATAATCATTATCTAAATTATTGCCCATTGAATGTCTTTTGTTAATATTTCCATAATTTACTCGTTGAGTATAGCAAGGTCCTGGCGATGATTGTCTATGATACATTGATGGATGTGGTGCAGAGTATAAATTTTGTGAATTGATATTCTCTGTCTCACCCCTGGAAGGTGGTGAACCACTTCCATAATCGGGCATAAGTTCTTCTGTATCTTGTGTTGCTTGATTTGTATTTTTTGGAGGTGTTGTACCAAAGAATTGCATTCTGTCAATATGAGCAATCTGATCACCAGAAATTGAATCCCATACTCTTATATGTCCAGCCAAGCAAGTGCTTGCAATGGTATTACCATCTGTAGCAATACATTCGACTTCTTGCGTGTGACCTTCTAGAACTAAGGGCACTGCTTCTAAAACTAGTTGGGTCACTGAGTCATGTGTTTTCTCTTGTTGATGCCAACTAGCTCTCCATTCAGCATAATTTCTCGAGCAAATACAACGATATAAAACTACCATTGTATAAACCACAACGATAATACTGATTAAACAAAGCAAAGTTGTCAAAAATATTTCCATAGGACTCGATGGTACAAAGGGTGCATCTGTATTAAATCCACGTCCTTCGGATCTTGTTGGTATTTCCATATCTAGAAAATAATTGAAATATTTTACTGGTAAGAACATTATGAATTTAATTTTCTAGAGTGTATTTCTATGTGATATGATGTACACTTAAGAATCGAATAATCGAATGATAAAATATAATATTCTGATATGTAACAAAATAAAAAAATTCAACACATAATTTAAAAATATGAAGTAACGTCATACTAAACTAAAGATATTTGCGATATCGGATTGTTATACGTCAATAAATTTATTAAAAGATTATCCTTGTATAAATAACATACTATATTAATTTCAATAATAATCTAATGATTCATCTTGAATGTTATCATTCAAGGAAATATTTACAAACCTGAAAAATCCAAGGGGTCAAGAGCAGCTGTAGCAAAACTTTGCCATTGAAACTGTTGTACATCATTTGGATTACTGATCTGTCTAACCAATTGTGGACTAACTGCATGAGATAATTTAATTGTTGGAAGTATTGTTATTTGTTCACCAGATATAGACATATTATACATTGAAATAATTGAAGACCAATGATAAAGAGATAAACGATTCCAAGGTGGAAAATCTACGGATCTCAATTTGTTCAACTCATCTGTTACGTTATTAATCAAATCATTCTAAAATAATAAAAACTGTCAATAATAGCCTGTATCTAATATAAAATAAATGATGATTTTAAAATAGCCTTGAAACACTTACATTATCATTTATATGGTCTGGAGTAACAGTAGTATGCAATGTTTGTATAGGCTTTATTTTATCTAGTTCAATATAATTATTTAACGTTTGTGGTCTATCTATAGTGTACCCATCAAGATCTGTTTCTGTTTTTAATGTACCACTCAAGTGAATAACATGTTCAATTATTCCAGAGTTATATATAATCATACTGATCCAGACTACCATCAATACCATAAATGCACGTTGAAATATACGTGTACGCGCCAAAAAATGAACTAGTCGTAATCGTTTTGGTAGTTTTGTTAATGTATAAGTATTCTGTGTATTTGGAGCTATAACATTAGTTGGTCCACCGGTCAAACCATTCAGCCTTGGGTGAGACTTGGAACGAAATATATTAGGCTTTCTATTTGTCATCACAGTTGTGATAAACTGTTGTTTTCGCGATGTTGGAATGTGTGGTAAATGAAATTTGGAACTTTCTCCAGAAAGTTCAGTACGTCTGATATCAATTGCAAGAATTGTTGAGAAGAAAACCATTTGGAGGAAGAAGTCACTCAATAATCCAACAATAGCAAAAATACAGAATTCTTGAATGGCAGGTACAAATGTAAACAATCCAATAGTTAAAATAGTAACTTCTGTAAGCAAATTTTTGGTGATCGACCATCCTTCTTTTGACAAACCTTGAGCAACTCGAATTTTTACATCCAAATGGGCTGGAGTACTCTCTACACTTTTTGTTAACACTAATACATTTTCTAAACCAACAATGATCACCAAGTATGGAAACACTTCCTTTCCATTTAAACTCAATGTTAAACCGAAAAAGAAACACACACCGACAGTCATAGAAAGAGATGCTACCACTGTAAAACATGCACTAAATGCCATTCCAATCTTTGATTTAATAAGTTCTATTTTGCGCACAGAAAAATAAATGTAAAAGAACAATACTAAGAAAGTCATCATTAAGGGAAAAAAGTCACTATAATTAAATTCTCCAGGATAAAAAATATGTAGTGCATCATCTATCACGGTATCTGTATTATTATCTCCAGATTGATGAAGACGATAGTAGCTTTTTAATCGACGATTTAATCCTTTTATAAATCTAAAAACAAATATCAATAAAAAGTTAGAAAGCCATCTTAATAGTTCCTTGTTGTATTGAAAGAATGTTGTTTGCGTACTTACTCGATATCATATTCCTTTAAATAAATAGTTACTGAATATTGTAAGATTCTTTGTCTTACACGTACAGGATATCGCTTAACTCCAGTTTCTTTTAGATTCATGCCAAACATTACTTCTGCTAAACTAATCTTACCTTTTTGTAAATTCTATGAAGAAAAAAAGTATAATATAGTAGAATTAAGATCAATAACAATTTTTAATTTGATCATACTTGATATGAAAATATTGTCCCAATAAGATTAGTATCTTGTGAGAATAATTCGATGCTTTGCTGCCATAAGTTCGCAGGAGAGAGTACCAGGCAATTATATTCTGGTAAAATCTCTGGTTTCTTTCCGTTTCTCTTTTTAGCAGCCTCTATATGCAAACAAACTTGGCCAAGTGTTTTTAAGCTGCGAATATAATTTTAATATGAAGATCTTTAAAGATTGTTTATCCAAGTTAATACATGAAACTTACGTTTCTGGGTGCTGATAATTTTGTATTATTTCCAATAGATTGAATATTTCGTATAAGGGTCCCCTAAAAGCATCCATTAATGACAAATCTTCTGCCCAAGGAACCACTCCAATTCTTAGAACAACCTGTTGAACGTATAAAGCTGACTTTTCTGTCGCATTTGTAGATTCAACTGTACGATTAAGTATCATTCTTGGTGCATTTCCTGGCATTGGTAAGTTTACTAATGGGTAACTGCAATTGAAAAAATGATTACATTTTACACATTGTATACTTTCATGAAAGGAAAACTAAAATGTACAATTAAATAAAATACAACAGACCAAAAAAGTAATATAATTGATATTGCCAAAGAGATAACTGGGATGGGATGCGAAGAACAGAATAGGCCATGGGCATAATACAGCCCTGCCACTCTATCTGGCAAATTACGGAACATTTCACCTCAAGTCTGTCCCATCAACATTTTTTTGTCCTATACTAAAGTATCGATTGTTTTTAACCTGTTAACAAATGAAAGAACATATAAATAGCGAAGGCGAAAATAAGATATCATCTAAGTATCCCTCTCACAATACTTGTGGAAATAGCTGTATAGTCAGATAACTGTAAGCATCATTGCTAGCATGACATCTAACGACCGAAAAAGGGAAAAAATTGGATAAAACAAAAAAAAAACAAAAAAAAAATAAAGAGAAAAAGAATAGAATAACAACAAGTGTACCATGTGTTTTTCATCGGCTATCAATGACATTACGCAATTGAAATATCCACGAGCGCGTATTTTTGGTACGACCGATTCAACGCGCATATTATACTTTTTCAAATTTGCGTATCGTACTTTTTCAATTGCTGTTCGGACTTTACGCGACCATCGCACAACGAATGACGCAACACGCAAAAGATAGAGGGAAGTAAAAAGAGAGAGGGAGAACGGGAGGAGAAAGATGAAAAATGAGTGGCTAGTAACAAGTGAAATAATATATCGATACCGTCTATGAGACATGCGTCGCACATGCGTACGCCTTATTCCTGTCTTTTTTTCTTTTTCTTTATCATATCCATTGCTCCCCTAACCTCCATCCCCGAAACTTCTCACTCGGCTATTATTTTTTTCTATAATTCGAGAAATATATTTTAAATAATAATAGGTGACAATAACCTTCTTTCTAATTGATGTCATTCGAAAGATCACGAAATATCGATCCCCGTTGCTCTCCTCAGACTCGATAATCCCCTTACTTTCGATTTACTCGACGATGATCACTTCGATATTTCGATATATATCCTTAAATCAAAGTCTCTTGAATGATCTGATGATGGTATTGATCTTTTTATATTTTACTCTTTCTCTTCTTTCCTTCTTCTATCGCACAATAAAAAAAAGGCAGAAGGGAAAAGATCGATTTTTGAGGTTATGTGCGAATGCAGTTGATTCGCGTACACGTTTCGTACGTGGTTCGCGGTTAAGAATGCACGTATCGATGACAATTGATCGATCTTTAGAATGAAAGCCGCGCAAACGCGAATCGATCTATCTTAATACCTACGTGTTTACGATTTTAACGTCATTCTTGTTTCTTCCTTCCTTGTCATACGACTATCTATCGCTTTCTATTTACGCGCGCTTATCCTTTAGAATAAATAAATAAATAAGTATGAGAGGCCCAATTGAGACACGCGCTCGCAAATTTAGCATACGACGGATTTATATTATTTTTTACGATACGCGTGTTGTGTATGTGCTTTTTGCTTGTATAATCGATCAAAGCTATTCTTTAATTAAAACTTTAGCTATCTATATAACTCGACTGCGACGACGGTGTACGAACTAAGGTATACAATTCTTCGAGTGCACTGCCCGATTGGATTTAACCCGCTTGACACGGCGCAGAAAGAAAGAGAAAGAGAGAGAGAGAGAGAGAGAGAGAGAGAGAGAGAGAGAGAGAGAGAGAGAGTGAAAGGGAGAGAGAGGGACGTAGTAGATTAATTTATTTTTAAACGTCTAGGACGAGCCTCCGTTTAGCCGCCAATCGCAAGTGCCCGTGCCACCTACATTACCCCCTCCCCAATGTTATTGCTATTCTTCCCTCGTGTCTTTACACGTGGTGAAAATAGATGGAAATCAAAATTATAAATCTTCGTGCTTCCGTCCTTGTAGTAGTTACCCATCTTTCTTTCTAACGGTACGTTCCACAACGTTGTTTTTTTTTTAACCGTTATCGTTAATTTTGCCGAATTTGCATTGATAATGTCTAAAATGTTCGCACACAGTGCAATTTTTTTATCTTTGTTTTACATATTGAACTAAACTATAAATCTGTTTTTGACAGTAAAATATGCACATTTTCTGCATAACCGATCGAATAGAACGGAGTTATATTTTTCTCACGATGCATCCCGTTTTCTTGTTTTCGTGTTTTTCTTGTTGATATTAATTTGAATAATCGATTGTATACTTAAAGACGTCATTGTTTAATTGACTGAGTCAATAGAATGATTAAATCGAATTATAACAGCTCAATTAATATTCTTTATTTCAATGAAAAAACATTAATAACGATAACACGAATGCGTAAACGAACGTACATTATTTTTGTTTAAATCTGCAGATATATATGTCATCGTTATTAGACGTTTAAGTTTTCTCATAAACGTGTTCCTGCGTATAGAATTATTTTGATTTTCTTTATCGTTCAACTTTTGTTATTAGATATTTTTTATCGACCGAAAGACATTTTATTTCATATATAAGCGCACGGTAAATAAATAAATTAATAAGAGCTATTATCAGTAATTCGACGAGTCGACTCGTTATAAGAAGGTAATATCGTAATTTTGAGATTATGCCGACAAAAAGGTTATCTCAGATTATCATCGTAGACGGCCAAATACGATTTTTATACATATTATCAGTTCATAATTATAATCGACAAAAAATTGATCTTACATATTTTCTGTTATTGCATGTAATAACTTCTCTCATTGCAATAATAAATGTGTTTTTATTAACGGAAACGTATAACCAATGTCAAAAACAAAAAAATATGCTTATGTGGGCGTGAACTGTATTGGATATGGAGAATAAAAATAAAAGTTTGAACTTTAGTGGATAACCGCTCGTCTTGAACCGAGCTTGACAGAAGAACACTGTCGTTGCTCTTTTCTTTGTCACCCGTCTAGTTGGCTTTTGAACGCCCATTATCCCGATGATTGATGTATCTAATTGCATCAATTGCGTAATAAATGGAAATTAGGCTGGTGTAATATGGTCAATGCCGAGCAGGGGTCAACCGAGTGCGTGAACGAAGCGGCGTCGATGAAAATGCATTTTGTTATTGATTACAGAAAAATTTCATCCTTTGATTAGTAGTTACATTTTTCTTTTATTCTAAGTTGTTCCGCGAAAGTAACGAATATATATATATAAGAATTTTCTTTTATTTCATTAATTCAAAATCTATATCTGGGAGGAAAAAGTTAACAATTCAAGACCATTCATCATAAAATAGAACGACGTGGAACTCGATTGTAGAGAACTCAAAGTTCTCCAGTCATTTCGTGATTTATTGCAGAATAATGGCTGACTGCCCTTGTTCGCGAGTTATGATGCGTTTTACGATTTAAGAGGATCTCCGGTTAGTTTCTTCAAAGAGAGTTAATCGCGCGTAACATCGCCATTTTTCTATTCGGCTCTTTCTTTTCACTAATATAATCTTTTAAAAATGAAAAGAACACATATATATATATATATATATATAGTTATTCGTTTGGACAGCATGTAAAATAGTTAATGTGATTTTACACGAATAGCCTTGACAAGAGAGATGACAAAATTTTGTTCTCTCTTTTTCAAAAAAAAATAAAACGTATACTTTATTAGTTAAACGCTATTAAATTCTTCTATACATACATACATATGTATATAATGCATAATAATGAAGTGCGAAGATATAAAATAATATTGATGAGGCTAATAGGATATGACGTTATACTACGAAGAAAAAATAAAAGTCATAAAATACGTATTAGTTTTTGTTCAATTATTTTCAAGAAGATTACGTAATACGCGAGAGGACGATTTATTCTCGTATTATGTATTTAGTGATCGAATACTTGTAAAAAATAAAAAAGAAAGAAACAAATAAAAAGGATAAGACATTATCTTAATACTATTTTTATCCTTTCGTGACGAGGAAAGACAATTTTTATTGGTGAAAATATTTTACTCTTTTTTGATGATGATTTTGTTTTTTATTTTCGATGAAATGGCCTTGACCGTACATGTCATTGATAATTTTTCTAATTGAATAGTGAGTTCAGTACGACGTAAAACTGACCGGTCCATAATCTATAATTCTATGTGTCTTTTTTCTCGATTAGATAGCATCATCTTTCGGTTAATCGATAAATGCAGTTAAGATAAAGAAAAATCTAACAATATTAATTAATTGGCAAAAATATATATACCGTTATTTATATATATGTTCATATATGTACGTGGTAATATTATGTAAAATATTATTAAATTATTAATAAATAAAGTTCGTATGTTTTACGTAAAGATTCCTTAATGATTAAATTATAATTTTTCATAAAAATATATTGTACAAACTTAAACTTTAACATTTCACTTAAATATGAATGACTATGAAGACTTAATTGTATATTTAAAATCTATAATTGCACACTTTATTAATTAATTATTTTATTAATTATTAATAATTGACAATACAAAAACCTTTTTTTTATTTCTAAGCAAAGCAATAAAGTTTTTTTCTCCGGTCTTTCTAGCTCCAATATGATATCGGTCTTTTTTTTTAATCCAGTAAGTCTTTTTCTCTGTACCTGTTCCAAGACAACCGTTCTTAACAAGTAAACTCCTTTAATTAATAATTAAAACAAAATATTTATATTAGATTTCTAATTGTTGTATGTTTTTAAATGTATATAGAATTTAATTACACATTAACTATGTGTACACTACTTGTTATTAAAAGTTACTAGGAGATAAGAAAGTTTAAAATATATTGAAATTCTAGTAACATGGCTAAGCCGATATCGGTAATAGTAGTGCTCTACCTTTATCTTACCGGCCGAAATCCGATGATAACTTACCATCAGAATTATCGACCGAGATCTGATGGTAAGTTACCATCAGAATTATCGACAGTAGAATAATTTTAACTGAAGAAAAAAATGAATAATTGCTCTTAATTGCTCACTAATTACTCATTTAAAATCCATAATTGCTTGTTTTATTTTTCGCAGTTTTTTACTGTCGTTACTACGTTGTACGTGTCATGTTACTAGAATTTCAATATATTTTAAACTTTCTTATTTCCTAGTAATTTTAATAACAAGTAATGAACACATAGTGAATGTGTAATGAAATTCTATATACATTTAAAAACAAACAACAATTAGAAATCTTATATAGATATATTGCTTTAATTATTAATTAAAGGAGTTTACTCGTTAAGAACGATTGTCTTGGAACAGGTACAGAGAAAAATACTTTCATACCGGACGCCTTATATGAAAATCGATTCCTTTTGCAGGAAAGATTATATTCTAATAAATCTTCACACCATTTACCCTTCTATTTTTTCTGTTTTTTTTTTCGATTCTTTTTGCAGGAAAAAATTATTTTAATAAACCAATTACCACTATTTAATCTTCTATTTTTTCTATCTGTTGCTTCTGTCTCTTTTTAATCCGTCTTTCACGTAGAAACTTATATTACCATCATTGCACGTTTCTTTAATCGCTCTTAAAACTCTATGCGATGATGATGCGACAATGATGGATCGTCTTGTCAAGGTTAGAGCGAGACCAGGAGGACGGAACGAAATTGTGTGTCGGCAGGTTGGAAAAAGGGCGCGTGATAAGTTGTGGGAGTAGTCGTGGCATCGACAGAGAAAAGAGGGCTCGATCAATTTTATCCGTTGGACGTCTTCGCAAATTATTTTCGTGAGCTTTAAAGTCCTTCTTCTTCTTTTTATCCTTCTTTCTTCGTTATTACTCGATGATTTATTATTATTTCGTCCTTTTTCTTTTTCTTTTTTCTTTTTTTACTTTTTCATTTTCCTTCTCTACCTTTCTATCACTCATTTATTCCCGTTGAAACTACTACTTCTTACTAAAAATGAACAAGACCGAGAAAAACAATAAAAGAAAAGAAATAAAATGGACGACGATATTCTCTGGCATCGTGATTAATCTTCCGTTTAACGATGAATACTTTTTTTCTTTTTTTCTGATAAACTTTGTAATAATACAATCAACAAAAAGAATTCCGTCGAAAGTTTGAGAACAGAAAGTTGTTACTTTGGGGTAAAATATAATAATCATCGAAAACTATCGAATCGACTATCGATCTTTAATGTAAGATCAAAATTATTAATACCTGACTGTGCGTTGGGGTGGGGGGGGGGTTCACGAAGAACCGACAAACATAAGAAAGATCGATGAGAGGTATTGAACGGACGATATTGCATCGAAACTTGGATACGCCGTGGTCGTTCTCATCCAGTTTCAGTTGATTGAGTGGACTTCCAAGTCTTCAACCTTTTTTTACGAACACGACGAAATGGGAGCGTCGATAAAATACCACACAACGGTATGCTTTGGAAGGCTAGAAGAAACAAAATAAAAGAGGAATAAGAAGAAAGTATAGAAAAGAAAAATGAAAATAGAAGAGACTAGAAGGGTGGTTAGTTTATTTAGCGATTAGAATAAAACCGATTTATCTTACCTACGACGAAGCGAAATTCATCCAACGTAGAATTTTGGTCATTAAAAATGATGGCAATACTATAAAAGTGATTTCTAATGATTTGAATCGGAAAAATAAAAACTCCGTTGATAAATTTGATTTCTCGTGTCTCGAACACACAACAACAGCTTGTTTTTTTTCTTTTCCTTGCTAATCCGAAAAAGACAAGACAAGTATTCTTTTCCAAAGAATCGTCCGTAGTTGAAGTTTCAACTATCAACTTCGGTTGTAGAGATTTTATTACTGAATACGAGATGCCTGCTGGCTCATCTCGTCTTATTTTGCAAACCGTAGTAACTTTATTATGGTTAAAGATCGTAGCTTTATACTTTTTTCCCCCTTCTGCTTCTTTGTAATTTTTCTGTCATAAAAAACGTCCCTCATCCTCGCCACACCTGATTTTGTTATTACTCTCTACCATCGTTAAAGATACAATCATCATATAGCTTACGTTGAAATATTTATACGGGAACACTTTTTTGTAAACTATGTGTGTTGCAAGAATAACGCGAAACTTTTCAAAGAATTGAACAAAGATGTGCACCTTGCATACAGCATTACAACATTCTCTGAAATTTTCCTGTAACTTATAGACGTTCGATTTATAACTTGATCTTAAGGTACTCTCTCTCTCTCTCTTTCTCTCTCTCTCTCTCTCTCTCTCTCTCTTCTCTCTCTCTCTCTCTCTCTCTCTCTCTCTCTCTCTCTCTCTCTCTCTCTCTCTATACACGTAGAAAAAATATAATAAGTGTAATGTTAAACATTCATATTAACAAAACTTTTACTTCTTGCTTCTAATTTTTTCTTTTTCTTCTTCTTCTTCTCTAAAACTTACTATCCCCACTCCACACCCTCTTTCCGACATTATCATTTGTCTCGTATTTTCTCGATAAGAAAAGTAACCCAACCCCCAAGCAGTCCGTCGGTTGTTTCTCTTTTAAAAAGAGACCTCACGATTTCCCAGTTATTAGGCTTCGATGCACTTTGTCGAGTTAGCTGTCGTCGAGAAGAAAATGTAAATTAATCTCGAGTCGTGGAAAAAGAGGTGGAGGTAAAGGTGGAGAGGGTTGGAGGGGTGGTAAAAAGAGAGAGAAAGAGAGAGAAGAGAGAGAGAGAGAGAGAGAGAGAGAGAGAGAAAGGTGGTCGATAGGGGCGTTTAACCCCGTTCGTTGAGTTTTACTTGACTCTACGTTCGTCCTCTTTTCTCGTTTCGAGTATACAACAACGAGGAGGAGGAGGTTAAAATCGACTCCTCGGCTTATTCCAAATTCAATTACGTACACAATGGGAGTCGATATCGCCGGAAGCATTTATCGGCACGACGAGGGTACCCGTAGCATTAATGAAAATTATGTCAAGGAATGATATCGATTAACGCTTATAAAACCTCGGACGAGGCCGAACACGAGAATGAGTTACCTACCTACCTACCTACCTACCTAACTTACCTACCTACCTACCTACCTACCTACCTACCTATCTACATTTCTGAGTAGGGCGATTAGATTACTTCAATATTTTCTTTTTCCTTCTTTTTGTTCTTTTTTTTCATTTTTTCTAACGCTAAAATAACGCAAAAAATGTAACTTACCTTTGGTAATTCGTATTATATACGTGTTCGGCATTAGTATATTACTCACGATTAATTAAAATACATCGCTTACTATCTTTATTTAATAAATATAATTATTACACATCGTAACATAAGGAATATCGCGCGTGTTCATTTTGTTTTTTTTTTTTTTATTTTCTCTCTTTTCTGTCGTTATTAATTTATTAATCATCGTCGTCGTCGATTAACGAAATAGTTCGAATATATATTTCTTTTTTTATAGATTTATATTTTTGTATATTCATTTATGTAATATATACGTGTATATATATATATATATACATACATATATACATATATATTTATTTCTTTGTCATCATCATCATATAGAATTCTTTTTTTATTTTTTTTTGTTTCTCTCTAGAGACAGCACAAACACAGATTATATTACAATATCGTTACAACGGCCAGGACCAGTAGTCCGTCAGTCGTGTTTGATCCTTTCATTGGCCATTCAAGTTTTCCTCTAACAATAAGAAGAAAATATTCATTCGCGAGATTTTTATCGAGGATCGTTCGTTTCGGATATCGCAATTCCGAAAACTCGCCAAATTCGTTCCAAATATAATGTTATACACACACGCGTGCACGCAAATCGTATCGCATTCTTTTTTTATTTTCCTTCCTCCTATAAACTTTTCTAATAAGCACAAAACTTCTGTCCACATTTTTTATTTTATTTTATTTTATTTTATTTAATTTTTCTTTTCTTACTCGCTTTCTCAGTTTCTTTGAGATTACGGTGGGTTGGGAGGCAAGAAAATGACGCTGGCAAGATCGTTTAAATGTAATATCAATGGGGGGAATAATTTTGATCGCCGTTTGAAAAAGAAGGAAGAAATTTTTTGTGAATATAGAAACAAAAAATATATATATATATATTTTCCCTTGCGATCCTGTCATAAGTAAATATTATCTTATATTGTTCTCACACATTTTTCCTGTTATGTCGTAATTCAATAATTTCATTGATAACAAACGATCATAATATTCGCATGATATTACATACATATAATTAATATGCTTTAAATGCATTTTTGCATTGGCTCGCATCGCTTAAACCAGTGTCGCAAAGTGTCACCTAAAATGGCTGAGTCTCTGGATAAGAATGCGAATAATTTTGTTTAAATTCAATCTCTATTGCACCATAAATTGGAAGAAGAAATTTCATAGAAGATTGTACTCAATAGCGCGTAGTTGTTTTTTGCTTGAATGATGTTGTTAATGAAAAAAAAAAAAAAAACAAAAGAGACGGTTATTAAAAATTTCTTTTTTCGAATTTTATCTTCTTAAATTTGAAATATATATATATATAGTATAGTTATATAAAAAAGTATAGTAAAATGATTTTTATTATAATTGATAATTTCATTTCTTTTATCACAACTAGCGCGACGTCAAATTCATCAGAAATGTACGACGTTATTGTTAATTATACTAGTATTTACATCAGCTCGTCATCTGATCGGTAAACGTCAGCTCTACGTTTGATTTTTTTTTCTCTAATTATAAGTTCGTGAAAAATAAGAAAAAAAAAAGAAGAAATAACGTCACATCCGTTTGATATAGCTTCGTTGAATTCATTTGAATTCGTTTTTTAGATTAACATTGGAATAATTTACTTAACAGTAAATTCAAATTGTAACACATACTTTTATCCTCGGAAAATCATTTGGAGATTATTTCTTTTTTCTCTTTTTTTCTTTTCCGAAATATTAATCAACTTAAAAATTGAGAAATAAGATGCATTACAATTAAAACAACTACTTAGTATTTACTTAACTTACATATGTATGTATGTATGTATGTTTGAATATACGCAAGTATATTATAACGTTTATATTTGTTCGGAAGAACATTCGATTCGACACAGTTCAAGAGATTATTTTATTTCTTTTTATTTTCTTTTTCTTTTTCTTTTTCTTTTTTTCGGGTTAGAAAAAAATTCGAGCGAGCGCAGTAGAGACCGAGAGAAAGGGTTGGCGATAAAACGTTTGGCATAAGAAAATAGGTGCATATCATTTACATTATTTCCTTATCGTAATATACGATCTACGGTAAAGTTTATGGCTTGATATGTACAATGTCTATATAATTTCTCGTTTCTCGACGATTCTTTTTTTTTCTTTTTTCATTCTTTTTTTTGTTTTCATTATCGATATTCCAATTATAACGATAGGAAAGAATCTCTTCCGTATTGATCTCGATAAAAAATATAAAAGAAACTCGTCGAAAACGTATACGTCGTCATATTTAAAGTAAATAGTTTTTAGTATTATACTTTCTCTCTTCTCTCGCCACTGTCCCCTTTCTCTCTGTTTTTTCTTTTTTGTTTTTCTTTTTGGTTCAGAATCATCCGCGTTCTCTTGAATTTATAGTGAAAAATAAACGATACAAAAGATAATTGTCGTAATTTACGAAAGTTCGACGAGTAAATGAATAAAAAGGTCGTATTTACAAAAAATGTTCGTTAATCAGACGAAAGAGATTTAGCCAGTCAGTGTATTGAGAGATCGGCAGTGTTCTCTATTTAAAAAAAGAAAAGAAAAAAAAAAGAAAGAAAAAGAGAAGAATCCTTCAAAGTCCTTCGATAATCTCAATAAAATATTTCTGACCCTATTTTCTAACCGAGATGATGAAGGCTTATAAGAGATCATTGAAGGAAATTAACGTTGAACGTTTCGACCTCCATTGGCTGCAATCCAATTTCTTGGAGACCGTCCTTCAAATGACGTTTCGTTTTTGTACCCGTCAGAGATGTTTTCGTGACGTTCAGTTTAGATAACTTAAAAAACGTCGTGGTTTGCGATAATCGATCGTTTAAAGGACAGTGTTTCATAGTTACGTCAGCGCCAACCGAACAGCTGTAACCTTGCCTGTGCAAGACCATAAGCGCGTTGTTCACTGGGAAATGTGGCAGTTTCTGATCGTGATTTGTCCTTAAGTTCAACAAATGAAGATCGCAGGGGAAGCTCTGGCTGAGAAGTCTAACTTCCGGTGCCATAACGATCTCCGATTCGGTCCCATCGACTACGAAGATATTTACAGGATAGTTTAAAGCATTGCTAAGATGATTGGCGAACAAGGATGGCTTCGAATACTTGTCCCCACCGCCCACGATATCCTCGAGCAATAGCCAATGTTTTATTATAGTTTTTCTATTGTCCAAAAGACCCTCGCCCATTCCTCTCGAGTCATCGTAGAGTGTCCTCCTGTCCAACATAACTTCGAGCCACCCTGGCTGATAACTGGCAGCACCTTGACAGTGGTTGACCAATAGAGTCAATCTGTGATTGGAGTCCTCTATGTAAGCCATCGTTGTTATGGGATAATAATTACCCTCTATACCAATTCTCTCAATTTTCCGTCTCTTTATCATTTGATGTCCATTAAGATCTGTATAAAATTCTGGCGGCTCGCCGTTCATTATATCAGTTTGAAGTCTCATAAACATCTCGGTTTCCCGATTCTTCGGTGGTGTTTCGAAGTCAACGATGTTTCTAAGATATATTGCATCGCCCAAACCACCGTCTCTATGATAAATCGCTACATGATGAGTCAATAATTTTCCATATTCGACCGTCAAACGAGAACTCAGGCTGCCACTGACGATATAGATCTTTTGATGGGGCGTGTAAGCCTCGAGAACGTCCTTATCCGTGTCCCGTAGATTAGGATCCGGCATGAACAGATAAGCACCACTGTGAAATTGTGCCGATGGATAAGCAGCGAATTGTATAGCACATTGCATTATCTTACCGCTCGATTTTTTCGCAACGCGTTTCAAGAAACCGGTTTGACCATCGAATAGCAATTTCATTCTATGATTCTCCAGTTGAACGTCCCCGATCTGCATCGGTTTTGTCGTGAAAACATTGTCCTTGCCGCATCTACTGCAATAAATCGTGGATATAGCGTCCATGGGGATCTTGTCCACTTGTTGCAGATGGTAGGTCGCTATCGCAAGTGGTTTCAATTCTGCAACGAAGAGGAGAACGTAAACGTCGTGCGTAATGCTCGTAGCGTTCATCACCGGTGCTATCTGGTAAGGTATCGGGTTTTTTTGAGGATCTAACACTCGTATTTTATACGAAGTAACCTTCAGACTGATCATCTCTTGTCTCGGTTGAGCAAGAGGATTGAACAGGACAATCTTTCGCGTCTCTTGGCTGTTCATGTTGATGGGTATCTTCTTTGGAAGTTTTTCATAACTGTCCCTATCGGATTCCGCCAGGACGTAGACGGAGTTTGGCTTGTTAGTCGTAGCGGCCAATGATTGAATCGCGAAACTTTGCAAGCTCGTGGTGTCGGAGATCGATTCGAAGAGTTTCAACGCGTAATCCTTCATCACAAATGATTTAGAAGTTCCCGTTATAGCGTCGTGGTGTTGAAACAATCCGAGATTTCTTCTAGCTTTCACGAGTTTCTCAAAATACGTCTCGTAAAGTTTGATGTCTTTTTTAGATTGTTTCGCGACGTTTAAAGCGATGGTGTATAATATCTCGGCTGATCTCAAATTAGCTTCCAATTCTCGATCGAGAATTTTCATATACGGCCTAGTCGTAAAATAACCGCTCCAATAGGCTGGTCTACCCTCGCTGAAGATATCCGAATAAACGAAGAAATCTCCTTTCAAGGTGGGAAATTTTTCTACTCGTTTCTGAATCTCTTGGAAGTAATCCTTCGGAGTTCCAAAAATCACCTCGGCGTTGTATTCGTCTTTGCGACTGTTTATGTAATCCATGAGGATTTTGTAATTCGTGTACTGTTGGTCCCATTCGATTGCATGATCGTACCTGAAGAAACAAAAAAAATATATATATATATATATATATATTAGAATGAATAGTACACACACATCCATGTTTTTATATTTATTCATTGATAATTATGAAATAAAGTTAATAATATCTAACCTGAAATCATCTCCGAGAGGCATCAAGACGACGTTGTGATTGAAGAGAGAACCAGTTCTCGAGTACTGTTCTAAAAGTAACTCGGCCATTTGTTTGACGTTGTTCGGCGTGATTTCAACAGCTCTGACGGTGTACTCGGTGTATTCGCCACGTATCTTACGAAAATCGAAGTTTAGACAAACGTGTGGGTGCGGTCCGCAGGAGTGTTTGATGTTATAGATGTCGAAGGGTTGATTGTGCGTCAACATGTCGGCGTTACCACTTTGGTCCCATGGTTGGAGCCAAATGAAGTCACCGTACTGTTTCTTCGCGAACCATTGCTTCCAAGCGTAATGTATTCTTTGAATTACAGTTCCCGTTGCGCCAGAAGCTTTTAGGAAATAAGGAATCGTCCCACCATGACCGAAAGGATCGACGGACCAACCTGACTCCGGGGTCACGTCTAAATTCGTTTTCAGCCATTGATGTCCTGTAAAATAATCAATTCGATTCTTTTACCAATTAAGTTTAATTAAGTTCTCCCCGGAAAGTTCGTGCCGATTCTGACGAAAGATTGAAACGCAACGCAGCATTTAAGTTTGAGTTGATATGTATATTTATTTATTAAATTATACAATATATATTAAGTGCCATTCTGTTTCACGATCTTTTTCCATCTTTAAGGGTAACTTGAATAAGTCTTTTTTTCCAAAACTTTTCAGGCTTTTCGATGAAAAAACTTAATGACACCTATCGAAAATTAGCACGAACTTTCCGGACAACCTAATATATTATTATTATTAGTATTATTATTAGTATTATTATTTCTAATCTTGATTAGGTATGTATACTTTGAGGAAAAGTTCGATGATAATAATGTGCAATAATTAAAATGACCTGACGTTAAAGAAAAATCGAATAAAATTGAACGTATTTTATTTAATTTTTGTATGATTCTTTTTTCTCGTAAATTGGACTGTATCGTATCATACATATAATTACATTTTATGAAATTATTAAATATAATAATAAAAAAGAAAAAAGAGATATGAAATTACATAAAAGCAGGGAATGAATTATTTTAGAAATTCCGTAATATCGTGAACAAGCCAGAAGGGCCAGCTGGTAGAGGATATTTCCAAGCTCTGTTAATTATTTCGAAAAGGGGGCAGAGTGCATAATTATCGCGTAGTCGGAAACTCAAACTACACGATTCTATTATATCAATTTCGCGTTGAGGAGGAATACTGACGAGACGTTCCAGAAAACGTTACTATTATATGCATGCAAGTATATACATTTAAAAAATAAAAATATATAGAAAGAATACAAAATATAATAATTTAATAATAAGTTAAAACATAATTGGAAAACATTTATATATATGATTTAAATCCTTTAATTATTACAGAAAAGTTTCGTACAATGGGAGTGTTTTATAACCAAAAAGAAAAAAAAACTGATATCATAGCACACTTGTTAGTATGCTTAATTAATAAAAAAATTAAATATTTTTATTATTGATAATAGGAAGGACTTCATTCTATAGAGAGAATGAGAAAGAGAGAGAGAGAGAAAGAGACAGAAGTAGAAAGGGAAGTTACGACGAGAGAAACCACGAAATTAATCCCACAGGAAGATCAGGATGCGAGTGGAAGGTAGGAAGGGACGGAGGGAGGGGGTTCGTTGAGATAGGTTAACAGAATTACCCGAAAGTCAGCGACGGTTAAATGATATATCCTGCCCTTTATGTTATCCACAACGAGAAGGAATATTAAGAGGATATCAGAAGTTAGGTCTTTTGCTATAATATAGATTGTTTATTGAGTTAAGGTTAAGGGTGATCATTGCAATAATACTCGCCATAGGAAAGATTATATTGAATCTAAATTATAGCATTATAAAATCTTTCTAAAAAATATCAATTTTTGTCATTATTAAGGGATATACCTAGTGTGACCGCCTAAAAAAAAGGTGATTTTTAGAAATTTTTTTAAAGAAAACTACTGCATGAAATATTTTAAAATGTAAAGGATATATTTATACATAATTAACGAATATTCACTAAAATTTTCAAATGAAAAAAGGTAATTTTCAGCGAGTAATTCGTTATTTCCTAAGTCACTATAAAAAAAAGGGCCTAAACGGCTGCAGTGATTCCAACCTTCACCGTGGATGAAATAAAAAAAAAATACTGTCAATTTAGAAGGTATTGCCTATACAATGACCTAAAATTGTGAAAAAAATTAAAATTTAACAAAATGGTATACTTTTTTAAAAAAAAAAATCGAATTTTGCTCAAAATTTTGATGATTTTTGGCCCGCCAAAATTACATTTTTTATACAATCGTAAAACTTTTAGATCATTGTACAGAGAAACATATACGAAATAACCAAAAAAAATCAAAGCGATCGGATGATTCTTCTTCGAGTTACAACAGCAGCCAATTTGAAAAATGTAATTTTGAGAAAAATGCGTTCAAAGATAAAATGATTGCTTTCTAATCCCTGACTGGCTGCTCTTTAGAATATTGTAACTCTAAAACTATTTGAAATATTTATTTGAAATTTCAGTATGTTATTTTTAAAGATATAGACTATCAAAATATGCAAAAAAAAATCAATTTTTTTTTAAATTTCACACTAGGTGTGCCCCATAATTATGATTCAGGTATAATGATATTGATAATAATTAATGACTCGTGATATATTTAATAAAATAAGATGATCACAGGAAATTAAAGATATCCCGACACGGTTGAAGATTTCAGATTGTTCTATCACCAATGAAAATGATTATTCTTTCTTTAGTTTTATGGTTCCCTTCCTGAAACATAGCGTTTGCAGTTTAAGGTTTAGACAATTTCTTTTCGGTTACCCAAGTCATTACTGCGATATTTTCTTTGTAAATAAACCGATAATTAGGGTGATTCTTCGTATACCGTTACGTCGATGAGAAAAAAAAACCCTTTTATTTCTAAATCCGTAACTCTCCCAACACTCACTCTGCCCCCTGAAGCAACTAATTTCGATATCTCAATTCCTACGTAACCTAGGGCGACAGTATAAACGCAGCACAACACCATAACACGTTGAAGCTAATCCTGATCCGTGGCCACAGAATACATTTCACGCTCGATCCTAGGCGTGCATGTTATTACGCGCATGAACGCATTTATGCAGCCAGGAAGGTCTTGGCTTTTGCAGCAAACCGTGAATTAATTCATTACGATCTCAATTTTATATATATACATATATATATTTATTTATTCATTTTTATAAAGGTATTTAATTTATTTTATATTAATTATAATAAAATTAATAAATAAATAAAGTGTTTTTTAAATCTTACATATATTTGGGTAACAATGTCATAGTTGGTGGGGGAGGATTGGGGTAATGCCGAAATATGTCATATAGGTAGGGTAAAAGCTGATACAAGGGAAAGGGGGTGAGTAGACTTAGACACAGTACCGTTACTAGGGAGTGACGTTATGTCGTCTATCATATTCTCTAAGATTACAGCTTAATATAGGCTGCAGAGAAGTTCTCCCAGGTTGCGTGGATGCGTCATTTGCCATGGCACATGTTAAGCCACCTTTCTCAACCCACCTCCTGTCCTTTCCTATCTACTAAGAGTCCTTGACAACCTTCCCTTCCCTTCCCTGCCCCTGCCCCTGCCCCTTTCTCGTATCTTTTATTAAGGTAATATGTTATCACATGAATGTGATATAAAGGAACGCGTATTATATTCAAATAATATAGTGTATAGAATAATTTATTTTCGATAAATTAATACACATATATTTGATTCGTTTTTATAATGGAACATTTGTAACCACGTCAAATAGAAAATTATGTAAACGAGTAGGCATTTATGAAAATGACAGAATGACAGAAGATTTATTGTTCGAGAACAACCTGTTATGTTCGTTAAAATGAAGCTTATTCGTAGAGTTTATATTTCTTATTTAGTTTCGTAGCATCTGTTATTTAATAGTCTAACAACGTGATCATGTCATAGCCTAAAATTTACACTTCAGAATTTGCAAGACAATTTATGGGAAAATGATGTCTTTCTCTTTGTCTCCCTCATTTCCTTCCTTCCTTCCTTCCTATCTCTATCTCTATTTCTCTCTCTCTCTCTCTCTCTCTCCCTCTATCTCTCTCTCTCCTTCGTAATATCAGAATACCTGGAGATCTAATTAGTGCGTCCCGTTAAATTATCAAGCTTGGACAAAGCAAACATGTGGCGAGAGATGTAACGAGTATCAGGAACTTCTGTCAGATTGAGATTGTTTGTTGCGAAATTAGGTCGGCCTTGAGGCTACAATCTCGAAGGAGAGAGAGAGAGAGAGAAAATATAGCAGAAGAGGGGGAGGGTGCAAACGAGAAAGAAAGAAAGAAAATAAGAACGGTTGGAGAAAGTTAACGAGATTTTCGTCTCATTTATTTTTACCTTAATTATTTAAAAAAAAAAAAAAAAAAGAAACGGTTACCTAATATAGTAATAAAGATGCAAGCAATATATTCGATAGATTTACAAGATGCTTTGTGCAAGTTTTTTCAAAAAAAAACAAAACAAAACAAAAATCAATCGTTTATAGTAATACTAGTAAGTAAAGTTCGTTCATAAAAGTGGCCTTAGTTATTAAATATAACGAGAGTTAGATATATATATATATGTATATATATGTATGTAGAGAATACAAATTGTAGTCTCTGGTCACGTATTCTTTCCCTCGATTTTTTTCTATCGAAAAAATTCGAAAATCCAATGTAACGTCCTACACACCGTATATTTCGCATTCGTTAAGTGAACAAACTAGACAAAGAGAGAGATTGAGAGAGAGAGAGATTGAGAGAGAGAGAGAGAGTAAAAGGGTGATAGTAGGGCCTAATGCGAGCGAACAAACCATTAAACTACACTCAGCCGGTGCTCGACTGATTATAACTCATTAGACACGACATGTGTGCATTAACGAAGTTATCGCACTAGCAGAGTTCTAGTCTCGTGCTCCTTCTGTTAACCACTGCTGTTTCTCTGCTAACGTTCTCTCTCTCTATTTCTCTCGTTACCGAAAAGCCACTGCACTTTCGTGCAATCCGCAATAATTCTAGGAAGCTTTCGCTGCACACTATTATCTTGGTTTCTAAAACGAAAAGTGACCACTTTCATGCGTTGATAAATAATTTGATCTAGAATCTACGTCTTTGTTAATAATTGTCATGTAAATTGTTATTATTTTTTTTTGGGGAGGGGGGTTTAACACGTTGATTACTGGCGCTTTTCATCACATGATTCGTTTGCCACGCCTACACGAATTTTCTGTTATGGGATGCATATTTAATTGAAATTTTGTTTACAAAACGATATACCGGCGTTGTATAATATTGTGTTTTATGCATTATTTATGATGAGGTCACCGGTGGCCCCAATACAGTCAACGTGTTAATATATCTATCCGATAAAATTTCATTTTCAAATTG